GAGGGGGCGGCACGGCCGGGCCCGGCAGGGCGGTGGGATTTCAGCTCCTCCTTGGCAGCAACTTTGGCAGCAGCTGATGGCGCTGTGCCGACAGCAGGGGAGAGCAGCTTTGAGGGGGTTGCAGCGTGGTTTCTGCCAGCCCGCTGTGCAAGACTGTGCTCAGTTTTACTGCAAGCCTCGCGCTTTTGAGGGGGAAGGTTGACAAATGGGCTCTCGCGCTCCCTTTCCCCCCCCTACCCTGCACGGCGTGGGATCGGCGGCCGGCAGATTGCTTGGGGCCTCATTCCCGAGTGACGGGGATGTGCCTTTTAGAAAGCAGATGTGCCTGGCATTAAATCAGCATCTCGGAGCGCTCCGGCGTGGGCAATCCTCCAGCCGGGCACCGGGATACCCGGGGTTGGACGTGGCAGGTGGAACCCGCAGCCACACTCTGGGTGTGGGGGGGCTTCGAGCTCGGATGTGCCGAATATCAGGATGCTCAGATGTCCTGAATATCGGGATGCTCGGATGTCCCGAATGTGGGGATGCCCAGATGTCCCCGCTCACTCCCCGAGCGCTGCTGCCCTTACCCGCGGTGGAGGGGGTCGTGCTGGTGGCGGAGGCGGCTCAGCCACGCCGTTAGCCGTGGCACACCCCGGTTCAGTGGCTACGCCAGCACGGGGCTGGCTGCCTCCCACCGGGCAGAGGAGCTGGCGGCTCCGGGGCGATGCCGGTGGCAGAAACAAGCTCCTGAGGGGAACAGGAGGTTTGGGGTGAGATGGGGGTGCAGGGCCCGGAGCTCCCTCTGGAGGTGGGCTTTGAGCAGTTTGGATGATCGCTGCTTGGGGTTTGCAAAATCCCTTTAACCTTCCCAGCTCTTTAGCAAAGGCCGGAGTCGGATCTGCTCGGACTGAGCTGCCGTTGCCTGCTTGGCCCCTCCCCAGGGTATTTAGAAAGGAGGTGATTAGTTTTCCCATCCTACCAGGTTTTCCTGGGTGGGGGGGGGGGTGCCCTCCCTGCATCCCCCAGCCTTGCTTTCCAGCAAGGGGCTGCTCCAGGACCACGTGCCGATGCCGTGCCGCCTTGTGAGCCTGCTGCGGGCAGGGCTGCCTGCTTCGGCCCTGGGCTCCGCCAGCATCCCTGCCTGCCCCAGCCCTGCAGGGCAAGGTGCCCTTTCCTACTCCCCCCCCCGTGGCAAACCCTGCAGCAGGGAGAAGCTCTGGAGCTGGTGGGGGTGACTGCAGGGACACACGGGAAGGGGGTGGCCCCATCCCAGGGGGGGGACCGTCACACTGCCCGCGTCCCTGCCCCGATGCAGCACAAGGATGAGCATCCCTGGCTGCCCTTGCTCTGGTTTCCAGCCTGCCGGGTGTTACGGCACTTGTTTAACTTTGTCTTTCTTCTTAACCTGGGGAAAGAGCTGTTCTCCTGAAAAAAGAGCTGTTTCTGGCCAAGCCACTTATCCCTGGGTGCAGCGTTGAGCGCGGAGGGGCGTCTCAAAGGAGGGCGAGGGAGAAGGAAGAAATCCTTTTGCTGATTTAACAGGTTGGCTTCTTCCAGACAGCTCCTCGAATGATCCGGCTCAGCAAATTGATTGCTGTACAAAGCCTCAGTAGGGGTTTTGAATTTTTCCCCTTGTATTTTTATTATCATCACGGTCCACTCTGAACAAATTCATGCCTCTTGCCTGGGAGCAGCTATTAGGTAGGCTTGAAAAATGAGGAGCTTTCATTTCCAGCCTGCTGCAGGAGCCCGAGGACCGGCAGCCCGGGCTGTGCCCGTGAGGAAGGGGTGAATTTGGGGGACCGCAGGGCGCAGCTGCTTGTCGCTTGAATTACAGGAGTATCTTGTAGCGTGGGGACGAAAGGTGGTGAAATGAGGTTGAACTCCTGCCGGCCACCCTCCCGTTGCAGAGGGATGTCCTGCGGCGCTTGGGGACAGGGGACCAGCACTGATAAAGCAGGGTTGGCTTCACTGGGGAAGTCTCCGGCTCTGGACATCCTTTGGGATGAGCCGAAGTCTCCGCTGGCAAGCCCAAGCCGGGGGCGCAGCATCCTCCGTGAGATGTGGAGCAGGGACCTGTTTTCCAGCCCCGCTTGGGCTGCTGGCTTCGCCACCCTGCTGCTGCTGGGCTAAAAAAAGCCCCAACCTAAAAAATGCCGAGCAGCAGGCTCACGAGCAGCCTCGGGAGCTCGCCCCGGCTGTGCTAAGCACGCTCACCCTCGGCGCGGTGCGGGCAGGGCGGCAGCAGGCAGCAGCTCCCCCCACGCTTCTGCTGTCCGCCGGTAACACCTGGAAAATAAGCTTGGCCTTTGGAAGCTGGAAAAGGACAAACCTGTCAGGGGAAAGATCTCTAATGAATGTGTGCTGCCCTTTCACCCGCCGCTGCTGGCCCTTCCCGTGCAGGCAGCTCAGCCGAGGGCAACGCTGCCTCCGCTCCCTCCCGCGCCCGGCAATAAGCCAGCCCGGCCGTGAATTGCATGAAAACCGAATAAATCTGCTGCCGGGTCACCGGTGAGGCTGACCTTGCCATCCACCTACCGAAGCGACAAGCCTGACACCGGGGCAGCGCGCACCCCAGTTCTGCCCGTGATGCTTGGCTGCGGGTGCACCCCAGGTGCCGGGGGGGGGTGAGGACCGGCAGCGCTGCGGTCCCAGGCTTTGCTCTGGGGCCATGGTGCTCGGTCCCAAGCCGATGGCCGCGGCTCTGCCGGAGAGTGGTGTCCCTAATCCCCTCCGTGGCCAGGTCCAGAGGTTGATCCCATCCCGGTGCTGCACTCTCCTCCCCAGGCAGAGTCGGCACAGCAGCCGGCATCTGAGGTGGCTCAGGACCATGTTGCAGAACCAGGTCTGGCATCAGGTCTGGGGCACCTGCTCATTTTTCAGCCATGAAGTGCCTTCCATGTGTGGTATTGCTTCATTCAGGCTCCTTACCGTCTCTATCTATTTTATTTTAACCTGGAAAGAACTTATTTCCATTAGAATTGGAGCGTTCACCATGTATTTTGCATTTATAAATGCTTCATGTGATTAAGCGCTGAAAGAAACAGGTATTAATTTTGCATGTTGCTGGGGCACTCGCCTTTCTGTTGATCTCTCCCTTTGTGCGGGGAACAAAGCAATTTAATTTGGTAACGGGGACGAGTGGTCCCTCTGATCAGGTATGTGCTGAGCTCAGGTGAGCCCCCGAAGGCCGGTAATTGGGATTAGCAGGCTAACGAGCCGGCCGGTCTCTCCCCGGGTGGGCGCGGGGGGCAATGCCGGCCCTCTGATCAGGTATGTGCTGAGCTCAGGTGAGCCCCCGAAGGCCGGTAATTGGGATTAGCAGGCTAACGAGCCGGCCGGTCTCTCCCCGGGTGGGCGCGGGGGGCAATGCCGGCCCTTCCAGCTGCCTGCCGCGGCGTCTGCTGACGGCTCGTGCCACCTCTCTTTTGCAGGGCTATCAAGAACGGCAAAGGGCTGCACAGCAAGAAGGAGGTGCCGATTCACCGGGTCGCCGACATCTCTGGGGTAAGGACCTTCCGGCGTGCGGTGCGGGGAGCGGCTGCGCCGGCTGTGCCACGTGCGAGGTTGTTTGCCGGGATGGGGCGCGTGGAGCAGAGCTGGAGAGGTGTCGGGTGCTGGCACTCCTGCACGGCCCGTGATCCCGCTCGCTGCATGCGGGATGTGCGGGAATTCTGCAGGCACGGCCCCTGCCCACCGGCTCTGCCGGGGTCTGCCGCAGCAGCCGGGACACCCGGCTGGGGATGGCACGAGGGAGTATGGCAGCCCATCATCCTCCTCCGCCGGGGCTGGTGGCCCCCCAAATGCCACTGCAGAAGCTGTTTGTCACCCCTGGCGCACCCCAAAAGGGTGAAATAAGATTTCTCCTGGGGTTTCTCTTCTCCAGGGGGCAGTGGGGAGGTCTTACCAGGTGCCTTGTGCTGGCATCGCCCCGAGCATCGGCGACAAAGGTGACCACGCGGTGCCGCAGGGTTTTGCAGCACAGGGCTCCCGCAGCAGTGCCAGATACGTTCATAAACCAGCAGATAGGAGCTGCGTCCATGCGTCCATCCTGGGTTTGATGCCCCAGCTCTCGAGAAGGTCCTTCATGTCCTTGGGGGGGACGGAGCTCTGTCCTGGGCACCCCAATTCCTGCCTGCACAAGCCTCCCGCCCTGCTTTTAATTGCTGGGGTCTGCAGCAGTGTCTGCTGCTCTTACAAGATGGAGACGTCTCATCCTCCCCAGGCAAACCCCTTGTGGGGTCCCTGCCGGACAGGGCACCATGAAGGGTGCTGGGGACACCCCCACAGCAGAGCTGCCGGCTCCCCGGGGCTCGGCTGCCTTTTAGGCTTCTAAAAAACACATGCTGGTGCGATTGCCCGCAAAGAGTGAGACAAACCAGTGGTGGTGGGATGTGGGGACGTCCCTGCTCCAAGGCCCCCGGCCCCACTGCCAGCAGGGTCCTTGCACCGGGATCATTGGGAGCCCCCGTAACTCAAATCAGGGCAGCGAGCAAAAGGGTTGGAGCCGGATGGGAGGGGGAGGGCCCCTGCAAACAAAATTAAGCTAATACATCACGGCTTTTATGAAGATTTGTTAATCTTTTTTAATCTTTAATAGTTTTCTGTAAATTGATCCCAGCCTTGGTTAGCTGCGTGTCAGCAGTTGTGCGGTGTGATGAATGCGGGCGCGCACCAAACTGACAGCGGGTGCTTTACCACTGCCAAAATAATGCAATGTGAATTAGCATCGGCGCGCTCCTCCCGGTGCCCGGGCACGCGCTGGGCTTGGCGAGCACCCATGCCCGGGGTACTGTGGGGTTCGGGGAGGCAGGAGGGTGTGCATCGCAATTCCCCGGGCTCTGCTGTCCCTCCCGGCCATCGGTCCTGGCTCCCCAGCACCAAACTGGAGCCTCTCCGGCACTGGGATGGGAAGCACGAGCCAGGCAGGTCTTGGGGGGAAAGACGATATGTCGGGGTGCCGGTGACCCCAATGGCAGGACTTGCCAGCGGTGCAGAGGCAGTGAGCCACCAGGCAGTGGTGGCTGTGCGTGGCGTGGCACGGTGTCCGTCCCCCGGCCTTGGTTAGCTGCGTGCCAGCAGTTGTGCAGTGTGATGAATGCGCGCGCGCACCAAACTGACAGCGGGTGCTTTACCACTGCCCAAATAATGCAATATTAGCATCG